CAGCTAGCAAATTCAACTATAAAATGATGAGACCTAGCTGCCAATCTAGTACTGTGCTTAAATTTGAAAAGTCTAGGCACCATAGAGGAAAGTTCATTAGAATAATTACCATGAAACTATTCATAGAAAAGGCACAGTAAAACTACATTATGCCGGTAGAAAAGTGACTGAAGCTGGAATTGCAGATTCTGCTTTGGATTTTATCAAGAATCTCTAAATATATAGCAGGAGTACCTGACCATATGTGGTAGAAATATTCAAAACAAGAATGAATTGTAGATTATCAATATCTAAGATAGATTCTGATAGAATATATAGAATATATATAGTATTTATTTAGATACTGTCAAATAAGCAGGATAGTATTTCTTTAATACCAAAAGAATTGAGGTTATTTTCTTGAAATTTTACAAGAAATCTTATTTTCAAATAGTCTTATCTCTTATTTTTGATCAAACAATTGTCTCATTTTGGTAAACAGGAAAGAAAACAGACTTATCAAAGACAATTATGCATGAAAACATTAGATGTACAGGCCTCCTGTTTCCCTCTCAGAAAATTGTTAATTTTTATTTCTATTTCACAGATCAATAACCATAACATTAAAAGCAAATTGGTGGAAACAGATTAAGTCATTGAAAACTTGGAGCTGAACAGATAATTTCATTCAGATGATGCATTCTTAACATTATTATCTACTCCATAGTCACAAATTATCCAATGGGATAAGAACTGGCTGGTTACATTCATTGTCTCAAAGACCAAGCTAGTTACATTCCATCATCAATCAGGTTGAATGGAGGTCCTCTCGAAAAAGCACTGTACCATGAAAGACGGTTGGGCCTCAAACACACACCTGACCTCAAGCAGAACTTGTACATATGATCCATTGCTAAGTATGCAGGTAAAATGGTTGGCTCTCTGTACTGCTTTAGTAAGTACCTGACTCCACCTGCTATCATTTACAAGAGCCTAATCGGGATTAAAATGGAGCACTGTTGTCATATTTGCCCAGACCTCATTCTCCAGCCTTGACAGAGTTCAAAAGCATCTCTGAGCCCTTGTGAGTGGCAAATTATTCTCTATCCTTCACCCACTCTCCCAGAGGCAGGATGTGGCAAGCCTCTTGCTGCTCTACTCCTACTTCTATGGAAAGTGCTTAGATGATCTACATTCCCATTAAGGCAAACCTTCACTGCAAGAACACACCATTCCACTTCATAGTAGCAAACACACCCACATTGCCTCCATATTCCATTGGTGAGAAGTAAGTTTCACTTGAGCAGCTGCTTCCAATGAACCACTGCTTTGTATAATCAACTCGCAACAAGATGTTTCCCTGATCACCACAATCTTAAACTATTTAAGACTAGGGTTAATAGTTATCTCCCTCACCTATATGCATGAATGGCCTCCAAACATAACCCTCTACTTTGAGTGGCCCATGGGTCTTGTAAAGGGTGAACCTTACTGTTAAAAAATAAAGTATATGAATTGTATATTTTAGTACATGCAGTTAATGTTGAATGCTGTAATACACAAAAAATAAATTCAGTATTCTTTGTATACTTTTGGGGCTAACATCTATAAAATATATATATCATAATTTTTATTCTAAATAGCATCCACAGTGAATATTTGAGTGAATATTAGTTCATAACTTGTCAATGGCACTGCTCAGCTCCCCAGGTGTCCAGTCCCTCCATGACTGATAGGCAAGCTACAGTATCCAAGATACTGCTTTACCTGCAGTACAGTTCCAAGTAGAGCTCCATCCATCCCTGTTTAACAAGTTACCCATGGGAAAGATATATTCGTATCATTGTCTTATCCTTGACCACATGGAGAGTATACACTGTCAATGCTGAGAAGAGGGAATGGTGCCACAGGATATGGGAAACTGAAACATAGTCACCCTCTATAAGAATAAAGAAGACTTAAGTGATTGCATCAGTTACAGAGAAATCTCCCTGCTGAACATCAAGAAGATCTTTGCACATGTAGTATTTGGTAGGATTCAATCTTGTGATGGCTTGTTCAAGATACTCTACAGGATTAGTTGTCTTCTGAGAACCCTCAAGATTGTCCAATTGTTTCATGCAGATAAGAAAGGCATCTGAAGCAGGGTTGTGTACTTGCACCTACCATATTTGGCATTTTCTTTGTTGTCATGCTGAAATGTACATTCAAGGCTTCAGCTGAAACTGATGGCATTTCCTGCACACAAGAACAGCTGGAAGGCTGATCAGTTTGTCTCAGCTGAGAGCAAATTCCAAAGTCCATGTGGCGCTCATTAGAGACTTGCTCTTCACAGATGATGCAACACTGGCAGCATACTCTGAAAAGCAACTGCAGTGACTAAAGGATAATTTTTCAAAATCCTGCCAAGAGTTCAATCTGATCATCAGTCTGCAGAAGACCAACATGATGGGGCAAGGTGTTGATCAGCCTCCTGCAATCAAAATCTGGAGGTGGTTCATGAGTTCACATACCTCAGCTATCACATTTTCCAGTCTGACCTTGAGAGTCTAGAATAATAGAAATCTTACTACGAACACTAAAATTGCTGTGAATAGGGCATGCATTGTCCGTGTGCTACTGTACAGCAGCAAGTCTTAGAGACTCTATACTAGACAGATACCTCAGTGCCTTTCATATTTGCTGCTTGAGATGCATTCTAGGCATCAAATGGTGCAACTGGGTCATCAATGCTGTAGTACTCATGCCCAGTTACCCAGTCTATATACCCTTCTTCAACTGTCCTGACTCTGCTGGGTTGGCCATGTACACCATATGCTGCATGATAAGATTCCAAAGGTTCTTCTGTATGGGGAACTGGCCACTGGCAAGAGGGTATAAGGGTGACCTCAGCTTTGCTTCAAAGACATCTGCAAAAGGGTCTGTAGGTTGATGGACATGAACATCAAGAAGTAGGAAGACATCGCCATGATTGTTCACACTGAAGATTTTGCAGCAAGATTTGGAGTGAGAAGAGGAGAAACTGAGGCTGCTGAGAAGAAGCATGCTCAGTGGAAAGAAAACAACATGGTGACATCAAGGGAGATTGTGTTCATATGCATTCATTGCAATTGAGACTGTCACTGCTGTGTGGGCCTGTACAGCCATAACAGATGTGGTACCACCATCAGCAGCTGAGGAATAACTTTTTGGGTGCAGATCCATGGTCTCACAAGACTGATGGATGCCACATATATTTGTTCATAGACTGTACAAATTTGAATGTCTAGGACACATAAGGAGGAAAGCAGGATTGGAGAATTTGACACTCACAGAATATATTGAAAGTAAGAGAGGCAGAGAGTAATGTATCTAACAATCTTATGCAAATGGATGACAGATCAGGGACTGGGAAGGATAGTAAGGAGCTAAATATTAGAGCTACAGTTAGGATTGGAAGTTGTGGTGAGCCCCTGAAGGGATACGGTGCACAAAAAAAAAAGAAACATAAACTGACACCATTTTCTTTGCTCTTAACCATTTTACTACTTATACCTTATTTTATTTATTGTATTTTATTTTTTCTTTCTTTTTATTTTCCTTTTTCTTCTTTCACCAACTTTATTTAATTCTCCTTTCCTTTTCATTACCTTTCTTTCTTTTTTTCTTTCTTTCTGTCATTTTTACTTTCATTTCCCAACTGAATCTTTATTTTATTTTTATTTTTCTCTCTTACACTCTTATACTGAATTTTCCTTTTTTTCACCTCCTGTCAGTCTATCAAAATTTTCCTTGAAAATCAGTCACTCATTCATCAAAATAAACAAAAAAGGTAAAGAAAAAAATGAACAAACCAACAAAAGGAATTGTCATTTCTTTTTGAAAGAAAAAAAAAATCATTTATTTATTTTTTTTAACTTCCTTCTCCTCAAAATGTTAAAATAATCATGAATTTTTTATTTCCTGTCTGCATTCAAATCACTGACATTTTTCAACTTTTCTCCTTTATTTGTTTTCACTTGATGCCTCATCATTTAACACAAAACCATACATACATATATATATATATATATATATATATATATATATAATGCATATTGAATGTAGAGAGGGCTAATGTTTATCAGTATAGAAAGTGGAATTGGCAATCCAGCTACAAATTCCCAATGATTTCTTTTTGTTCACTTCATTCAAATTTTCTTGGAGCAGGCATGAATCCATCTTTGCCCTCCAGCTATGAAGTAAATAGCAGGGCTTTCTTCCTTTGGGTGACAAAAAGAAAAAATCTATGTGTGCTGTTTTTAATATTTGGTATTATTCCTGAGAGATTAAACTCTGTGATTATAAAACATGAGGAGGAATGTTTGAAGATTTCATGGCACACTGTGCACCATTTCTCTGTTATCAGTACATGAGAAGACTAGGGTAGATGTAAACATCTTTTTCCAACAATGTTTGAAATATGTTAATGGAAAATGAATGTTAAAAACAGCAAAAGTAAAATGTAAACAATGTTATCACTACCCTGAGCATGCCTTATACTGGCACAAGGGCACAATCTTGGCACATCCATTAAAGAATTAAGTCACTAGTAATGGTCTGTTGCTTGTTAGCCCTTGCTCCAGAGTGGTTCAGAATGAGAGGAAAGGAAACATTCAGATAAAACTGATCGAGGTACCATGATTTAATATAGTTGAAAGCCATGCCTCTTTTCAGTTTCCTAGGGTGTGCCACAAGGATACATATTGTGGAAGCATTGGCCCTTGCCTGTCAGTTGCAATTATTTCCCTAATTAAATATGTAGTAAGTTATACCTTAACTTATCTCTGCTGATCAATTCTTTGACTCTTTATGAGAAGCTGTATCAGTGTTTCCACATGTTGATGGCTTTTCCTTTTAGAAAACCACATCTATTATCGTTTATCCCTGCTCAGTTAGTGTTGAGTTCCTCAAATAAATAAGAGGGAATGAAAAAGAACCTTTAGTGAAGAGAAATCCTTTGGATCTTGTGTGGAAATGGACTACTTTAAAAATATTTCCAGGTTTCTATCTATCTATCTATCTATCTAGTCATTCTGTCTGTGATACTGGTACCATGTAACTCAATACTATCTGCTGTATGGTCAGGTTATTAGCAACTAAACCAATTTCTCTATCAGGCTTTTCTGTTGAGGAGGATGACTAGATACTTAGCACAATTAAAAGTAAAAACTATCAAATGGTGGAGGAATACTTTCATGAGATCTGTCGGCATATAACATAGGGGCTGGTATGTAAAAATACCTTGGTTAGTGACTAGGTGCATGGTAAGTTCACTGAAACCTTTGAGCCTTTGTTAATGTATTCAGCTAAAAGGAAAACTCTGATGCGATACCTGTGGCCTGATAGCATCCATTGATATTCCCTGGTTCTTATTTTTAATTACATCCTAGCTGTTCTTACTCAGAGAATGAAACTGACCCACAAGAATGTAATTCTCCATTATCAAAATTTCATGTACAGGCATTGCTGGATATTATCACAATTAAGTCTTCCAATGATTTTGTGTTATTGTAATACTCAACAATGACATGGAAACCAGCATATATATATATATATATATATATATATATATATATATATATGAAAGTTATTGGTCAGAGTTGAATTAGACCAGGAAATAGTATTAATAAAAAGTGCTCAATATACCTATAAAGAAAATAAAATAAAATAATTTAACATGCACAGTTTTTAAATTCAAAAAATTAGGAGATCAGCTAATCATGACACCTTGGTTTCAAACTTTTGGTATATGCAGGCAATTTAGCCCAAATTGCCTGAAGATACTGAAAGGTTGAAATCAAGGTAGCGTGATCAGCTGTTATCTTAATTTTTAAATACACACACACACATACATATATATAGAGTGTATTGGGGCAGCATATCATTATTCAAATATATATTATTAAGTATAACAGACAACGAATATCTATTATGTTTGACCATGAGCTGTCCTAAACTTTGTATAGTTGTTTTAATTTCAGGAGAAATAAATCCTCTACCAAAAAAAAAAAAAACAATATAGTATATCAATTTACATGCTCGTTCAGAGATTGTATCTCTGATACTAATAATAAATCCACTACATATATTGGTTTTACTACAACCACGCTCTTCCATAGACTTACCTGTCATCTTTCTGATCTTAGTTCTATTAAGCAACATTTCTTAGAAAAACCTAACCATGTTCATAATATTAGAGAGATATTAGTTGCTAACACAATAATACTCACACATACACACACAGTAAAAAGAACCTTCAGATATTGGAGGTCATCTCCATTAAAACACAGCAGCCCAACAAAATTACATTTCAAACTAGTCACAACACATTACTTTGCATCTAAACATATGGTTCTGTTGTTAATATTTCATTCTCTTGCATGTTATGATGTCATAGAATCGGATCATGGATTTACGACCTGTGTCTGCTATTCCACGACCATTATCATCTCATAGCAATCTTCTATGTCAACATAATAGAATATCCTCTTTGATGGGGAATATCTTTGTTTAAATGTCCATATAATCACTCAGAAAATGGCTCATGTGAACCAAAAGCTTAGATGAAGGAACAGCATAATCAAAAATATCTGAGTGTTGAACAATTTTTGTTGTTATTTTCTCCCGAAAATAAAAAATTAAACAAATAGACACCTTCTCAGTTCTTTTTAATCAAACTTGTTTGGCTATATATATATATATATATATATATTTATATTTATAGAGAGAGAGAGAGAGATTTGTTTTAAATATACATACATACATATATATATATATATATATATATATATATATATATATATATATATAAATATAGATAACTAGACTTGTTTTTAAAAAACCCTCGAATTTTGATTTGCTAATCAAATCAATCTCGAGGAAAAAATTTTAAAAAAGAAAGAGCTACAAACATGAACTTCTGCCAACAAAAAAAAATCGCACAGATGCAGGTCTGAAGCCCAAAAGAAAAACCCGATACGGTAACAACTAACTAACAAAAGAGCTCAATGCAACCGTAGAGCAAACTTTCCCTGACGATCCGTTTAGGTGAAACCTAGGTAGGTTTGTCTGGCTCACTAGGTGTATCTATATATATATATATATATATATATATATATATATATATATATATATATATATATATATATATATATAAATATATATGTATGTATCTATATTTAAAAGAAAGTTTTCAATTTTATAAGTTTTATGTTTCAGTACAGTTTTTTACCTTCATTCTTTTTGGCTTTTATTTTCTCCTTTCTTTTTCACAACATTTATTTTCTCTTGTTTTCTTTTCTTCTTTTTCCTTCTCTTTCAATTTCATTTATTTTTATTCCTTTTCTTAATCTTTTTTTTAATTCTATTCTTCTTTTCCCTTTTCTTTTTCCTCTGTATTTGTCTCTTGCTTTTCTTATTCCTTTTTCTTTTCTCTTTCACTTTTATTCTTTTGTTCTCTTTCAGTTTCATTTATATTTTTATACTATTTCTCTTTCATTTCTCTTGTTTTCTTTCCTTCTTTTTTCATCTCTTTCAGTTTCCTTTATATTTATTCTTTTTCATTTCCCGCTCTCTTTCTCAAGATTTCTTTCCACTTCCTCTCTCTCTATTTTCTTCTCTTTAAATTTCCTTTGTATTTATTCCTTTATCTTTTCCTTTCTCTTATTTTTCTTCTTGCTTCATTTGTCCTCTTTCACTTTCATTTCACTTTTCACTATATCCCTTTTCTTTTTCCTTCATTTTTTTCTACTATTTCATTTTTCTTGTTTTTCTTCTCTTTCACTTTCATTTATCTTCATTCTTTCTTTTTCCCTTCTTTTTTTCCCCTATTTCTCTTCTCTTACTCTTTTCCTTTTTTTCTTTGCTTTTATTTCATAATCAATATTCCTCATACTCTCTTTTTTTCTCCCTCCCACCATTTCTTTTCTATTGCTTATCTTTTTTCTTTTATTCTTTTCTTTCCAATACACTTCCAATATTCTTAACACTCTCTATTTTTCTCCTTCCTTTGTTCTCACCATCTCTTTTTTCTTGCTTTTTTTCTTTGATCCTCTTCTTTGACCCCTTTTCTTAAAAGTCATTTTTTCCATTGGCAAATAATGACACTTCCTATCAATGGATAAAGGCAAAATTTCTTTAAAAAAATAAATCTTTGTCATGAATTCAACACATATTTTAATGACTATGCTTTTTTGTACTTCTTTTTGATGACAAAAGCTGATTGGATGAAATTGTGAAGTTGCCATGATACCAGTTGCAGATTATCCAATAAGAAACCATTCATTAAGTTTTCTTTTTCTTTCTTTTAGTTTTTACTTTGCTTCATATTCACTTTATCTTTTCTTTTTCTGTAATTTTTTCCTTTTTATTCCTTCTTTAAATATGTTTTATTTTTCTTCTTTTCTTTTTAAAAATTATTTTTCATATTTTTCTTCCATCGTTTTTGCTGTCATTCATTTCATTCCCGCTCCCTTTTTCTTTTTTTCATTACTAAATTCATTCTGAACTTTGTTTTCATTTATTTTCTTCTCATAATCTTTCTCTGAAAGTTTCTTTCTTTTTTAGATTTTCATTACTTATGCCATGTATTCATTTCTTTTATTTTTTCATTCTTTACATTCATTCATTCATTCTCATCTTTTATTACTTATTATTTCTTTTTCATTCCTACCTTAAGTTCTAGATTGTTCATTTATTTTTCTTATTTTTTTGTTCAACTTTCATTATTTATCTAATTTACTTTTTTTTAATTTATTTCTTATTTTCATTCATTCATATTTTCTTCATTTCCTTGCTCATTCCTGTTTTCCTTTTTATTGTTCAACTTTCATTACTTATTGTATTCCTTCTTTTCATTCATTCATTCATTCATTAGTTCATTCTTTTTTTTCCTGGTTTCTTTTACCCCTTTCTCTTCTTTTACCCTTTTTTTTCATTCTTTCTTTTTCATTAAAGTATAATTTCTTTCATTCATGAATACTTTTCATTTCTCATTATTCCTCCTTTTCTTTGTTCATTCATTTTTCTTTTTTACATTCTCTTGTTCATTTTTTCCTTCTATTTATCCTTCCCGATTTTTCTCATTACACATTTCATTCATTTAATTAAACTAATTTTTAAGACAATTTGATTTCATTTCTTGTCTTTTTTTCCTTTTCTTTACACTGACCATGTAAGTAATCCAAGAAAGAATTGGGAAATCTTCACAAAACATGGTTTCCTAATGATAAAGAATAAAATATTCCTAAAGAAAATGGATAGAAAGAAGAAAAAAATGCAAAAAGAAGATGCCTCTAAATATTTCCCCTATTTGATCCACCTCCACCCCCATTATAAGGGATAGTCAAGAAAACACCATAAATATCCCCCACCTAATCTTTATGTTCATCACTATGCATTTCCATCATAAGAACAAAAAAAAAAAAGCCTACACTGGATTCTGACTGTTGAGCAAGGGAACAGAAGAGTAGATGATGTGTTCAGAAGGTTTGATTGGTGATGAAGGATGAGAGATATAATGGCAGTGTGGAGGAAGGTGGTGATGGTTTTAGGTGTATGTCCAGTGGGGAGATGAGTAATAAAATCTGATACCATGGCCTGCAGCCTGTTGGAAACATACAGAATACTTCCCTCCCTCATCTCTTGCTGGCACTCTCTTTTTCTCTATCTTTGTCTCTCTCTCTCTCTCCTTCCTTTTCTCCTTTTCCCTCTTTTTCTGTATTAGGTTTGTAGTCCCTCTGTGTTAGATCACTATCTCATTGAAAAGTCCCTCTTTCCTTCTTGCTTCTCCCTCAGATCTCGTTTTCTCTCGCATACTCTCTTTCTAGGTCTTCTTTATGTCACTTTCATATTCCTTTCTCGCGTCTCTCTTTCTCATTTTTATCCACCTTTTTTTTTTACTTACTGTCTTTTTTTTTTCTTTACAGGATCTTTTTCTCTTTTCATTTCACCCCCTCCTTTACTCTTTTCCCTCTTTTTCCCCCCTTTTTTTTTTTTTTGGTCTCTTTCCCCATTTCTGGTCTCTGGCTTTGTTAGTTTTCTCTCTCTTCATCTTTCTTTCAAATCTTTTTTTTTTTTTTTTATCTACTAGTCTCTTTCTGCTAAGTTTTTATTTCTCTTCAAAATTCTCCCTTTCCTTCTCTCTTTCATTCTCTAACATTTCTCTCTCTCTCTCCTTCTCACATTTTCTAACACTTTTTTTCTTATTCCTTCACCCATTACTCTCTCTCTCTTTCCTTTTCATTCTCCCCGTGACTATCAGTGTTTTTCTCTTTCTGAATCTCACTGTTTTTCTTTATTTCTTTTGAATTCCTTTCTCCCAAACATATTTTTTCTTCACCCCTTTTGCACACACTCCAGTCTTTCTTTTGATCTTCAAATAAAATATCTCTGTAAATGTTTGAAACGTTATATTAAATTTTTCTTTCTTCATAATCTCCTTTATTATGTCTTTATTTTTATTTTTGTAAATTTTTGTCATCTTTCATTTTATGATTTATTTTCTTTAAATATCTTTCTCCTTATTATCCATAAGGATCAAGAGACAACAAGTCTTCTTAAATTTTAAGCAACTTTCCCATAACATTTTCAGATCTCAGCAGTGCTAAGTTATGGCCTTAATAATTCTTTTCTAATCTGTAATTTTTCCACTCACTTTACAAGGGTTTTCAGAAGTGTTCCAATGCTCTGATGATTATGGGTATGACTGTCTTTTTCCTATTCTGCAATACTATTTTTGCTCCTGTGAGATTTCAATAGTTATCTATTTCCTCATTTGCTTTTAGTTTTAGTCTGAAATACTCTAGGGCAGCTACTACTGTCACTTTTAGATTGTTATGGATGTGAGGCATAATGATGTCTTATCTGTTAACATGGTTAGAGGGATCATCATTTATTTTGAAATTTCTAAAATAATTTATCTTTTATTATTACTAAAATTGAGCATAGTTTATCATTCATCTTATTTTTGTGTTGCTTTTTACTGCACTACTCAAAACGTTTTAAAATTAAAAATTCTGTGAATAGTATATGAGCAACATAGATGAAAAAAGCAGAAGTATGTTCAGATCTGAATTTGCATTCTCTATCCTTGGGATTCTGATCAACACAAACTATGCTTTACACCTCAGCAGTTAGGTTTTATATCAGTCATATAAAAAGGGAGATATAAAAACACAAGCGGTGTATAATTATAAGTGCCACTTGCATTTTTATATCTTCCTCCCCACTACACATATAAAATTCCATCAACAAAAACACTACTTTAGACTAAAGACATCCTTGTAGAGAACAAAATATGTTACACAGAATTTTCACTTTGTCATTCATTTATATATATATATATATATATATATATATATATATATATATATATACACATATATGTATATATAAACATGTGTTAAAAATAGAGTTTTACAGTATGCTATGTTTATGGGTAAAAATGTTCAATATCCATGATAGAGCATATATAAACGCTAACACTGAGCAGTGACCATCCGTTTCATGCTTGGACCCAATCTTCAGGCTGAAAGATTGCATTCATGCATTAAACAGACTGTTGTCATTTTGAATTTAATGCCCATATATATATATATATATATATATATATATATATATATATAAACATGTAACATTGAATAAGATACAAGGATGTAGCCAACAGAATATTGGATACAATACTGACAGCACATGGTTTTTGATAATGATTGAAATGGTAGAAAGCACTTGAATAAAAACAGAAAAAACATGATCTTTGAACAGCTTAGCTACAATTTTCATCATATTATACAACCTTATTCAAAAATTGTAAAATACGATAAAAATTAAGCAGACCCACGTTATTGGTTGAATTTAATAATACTTGTCTGCATACACACGCACAATTGTGATTTGTGAAGGGTGCTGGTCAGTTGGTCAGTTGTCCAGCAAACCTGTGACCACCCATAGTCATGGGGATGATGAAGATATATATATATATATGGGGATGATGAAGATATATATATATATATATATATATATATATATATATATATATATATATATATATATTAAATATTTCAATTAAAAAGCGCAAATATAATTTATAAATTCATGAATCATTCATACAAAAAACAAATATAGAGGTTAATGATTTAAATGGTGAGAATACTTCGTTGCAAACAATATAAATAAGATACATCAACCCCGAACATGTATATGAATGATATGATCCCCCGTTTATAAATTCCAGTTCCATAAGGTCTTTTTAATTTTTTATAAGTAATAATAAGTGTGACATTACTATAATTATTGAACAATATAGTTCATGCCATATTCACGGAAAATCTACCAGTAAAAAGGAATTCTCTTATTGCTATATTTGTACAAAAACGCAGAACCTTAAAATTTAAATTCAAATTCAGCGTTGCGACCGCACATACCCAAAACAATAACATATTTCTCATAGCATTTTTTCGGATTACATCTCTATTTTCATTGTCCTCTTATTACCGAGAAGTGAAAACAAGAACAAAATCTACTTCCATACCTGATGATGTCTGTAGGAACAGACGAAAGCTTGTAAAAAATTAAAAAGACCTTATGCAACTGGAATTTATAAACGGGGATCATATCATTCATATGCAGGTTCGGGGTTGATGTATCTTATTTATATTGTTTGTGACGATGTATTCTCGCCATTTAAATCATTAACCTTTATATTTGGTTTTTGTATGAATGATTCATGAATATATATATATATATATATATATATATATATATATATATATATATATATATATAGTATTTTGGGGCAGCAGGTCATTACTCAAATATATATTGCTAAGTATAACAGACAATGAATGTTTATTATGTTTGATCATGAGCTGTAAAGAATTAATGGATTTTTTAAAAATTTTAATCAAACATTGCTTTGGAGAAAAACCTAAACAGGGAGACAAGGAAAACAAAGCATTACTGGATCCAACAATGGTTTCTCCTACAAAGGAGGATAAAGGTTTGTATCCTCTGATGGTGGGCACATCTTTTCTTGAATACCCAGTTTGACAGATAAAATAAACACTATTTAAAAAGATAAGTCATTCTACTCAAATACAGGTATCCACTAAATATAACATTTGAAGTAATTGATCATCTGATGATTAGCTTAACTTAGGGTGAAACTGCCAGTCACTATGAAGTATTAATTCTATGTGTATACTGTTTATAATATTTTTTCAGCATTTTAACTTTTTTTTTTATCTTTGTTGTTGTTTTTATTTTTTATTATAATGTGCTGACTTTTTTGCATTCTCTGGACATTAAATAAACAGCATGAAAATAAAGAGGTTTTCCCTCAATGAGGTTTGATCTCACCTCCTGCATGTATCCTATGATTATTTGCTTTATAGTTTTAATGGTGCTGGTTATTTAACTCTCTATGTCTTTTCATTTTTCTTTTCACTGGGATCTTTGTCTGTCTGTCTGTCTGTTTTTTTGAACACTTTTACATTTGGTTAGACTTTCTTTCTTTCTTCCTATTTATTTTGCTTCCATTCAGAATCCATGATCAGTCACTCTTTTGAGACTACACACAATTTCTCATCAGCCTCCCCCACTTTACTCCTTTTCTTTCTTTCTATCTCTCTCTTTCACTTTCCTCTGATCTTTTCTTCTCTCTCTTTGATCATTTTCAAAGACAAAATTCTCTTTAACTTCTTTGGAATTTACTCATCCTCTTTTCCCCTCCCTAATTAATATCATTGATTTCTCTCTCTCTCTCTCTCTCTCTCTCTCTTTATTACTCAAATCCCTCACTTTGATCTTTGTCTGAGACATCTATTTCTCTTCTTTTCACTGCTTAAATCTTCTCTCCTCCTCTCCCCATTACTCCCTCACTCACCATCAACATTAATTTCTTTCTTACGATATTTCCCACTCTATAATCTCTATTTTTCTCTCTCTCTTTTAAAAGTCTCTTCTGGTCTAAGGAAAATCTTTCAAACTTCTTCCTTAGAAATTTACTTATTCCCTTCTTTAATCTTCTGTTTCATTTTAAAATTTCTCTTTGAGCTTTATTTCTTTTAGATAATTCTCTCTTGTTCTACCCCTCTATTTCTTTCTCTTTCACCCTCTCTCTTTTCCTTTTCTATCTCTCTTGTTCTCTTCCTATCTGTTTCACTTCTTATCTCTTTCTCTTTTTTCTATCTTTTTTCTCTCTTCCCTCTCACTTTTCTCACCCTATCTCTCTTTTTTCTTCTTATTCTCTTTCTCTTCCTGTACCTCATTCCCTCTCTCTTTCCCATTTTCCAATCTTTCTATTTTACTTCCTACCTCAATTCCTTCCCTTTCTATCTGTTTCTCTCCCTTTATCTTTTCCCTCTGCCACTTTCCTTCTTCCCTCATCTTTCCCTCTTTCTCTCTATGAGTTTAATTCCACATTTTCTCTCTCACTTTCTCTTGAAAATTTCTATTACATTTCTCAATGAGATTCCTTCTCACCCTCTCTCTCCTTTAGATCTGTCTATCTTCAAATTGTACTTTCTTATCTAAAATCCCAAGGCCAAAAAGAAAAGATCATCTGCCTCTTAAATCCAACCAAAAATTTTGGAAATGGACATTTTTTTTCCTCTCTTTTCCTTCTCCCCTTAAAAGAGTAGTTTTTGTTTGTTTATTTATAAAAGACTATATTTCCCTTTTGTGCCCACAAGGTCATGGGGACCCAGAGTTCAAAAGAAGATCTCTCACCATTTATCTGCCCACACCTCTTTATTCTTTGGGAGACACTCATCTCTGCTCTGCTCACATTCTATTCCATTTCTAAAATTTCCTCTTTTTAGTGCAGGATGAAGTGATGGTAGGATGACTTTATCCTGTGGGTGGGTATCAAATTAATGTTGTTCTTTAGGGCTAACCATCAGGATGATGTTAAGAAGATCACATATGAGGAACATGGAAGTTTGAAAGGAAAAGGAACTACAAAGAAAATTTTAAAATGAGTTTAGATCAGACGCATATCAGACAGTGTTTTGAATAAAAGGTCTTTTCAACAATGGAACTAGTAAGTTAAGTGTCCAGACATACCAATGATAGTTTGTCCAGGTCTAATCAGGAAATCTTTCTTGTAAAGTTTCTGTCGATATTGAACTCCTTCAAACCGTAGTTGAGAAAAGCCCGAAGCAAACTGAATGACAATTAGTAAAACAGTTCATTATAAGTCACACTTCAATCATAAATCATCTTCACAAACTCAGAAAAGTGTCAAAACTTGGTCATTGGGTCCCTCATCATCTGACTGCTTCTCAGTTTAATCAGTGACTTTTCTACAGGGTAAATTTGCTATAGAATCATCACCAGTGGTGATAAGTATATATCCAATAAAGATAAAACAACACTGGTTAGCATCTACAAAAAAAGGAGAATATATGAACTAATCATAATGATAATATTAGCTATTTCCTTATAAAGAATTAAAAAAAAATAGCAATTAATTAACAGAAGAGAGAAATTACGTTAGTGTGTACACAGTTGAAAAAAAAAAACAAAACAGAAGACATTAAAAACTTAACTATTAAGAATTGTGCATGTCTGTGTGTGTGATATACATGTGTGTGTGAGTGTGTGTGTAAGAGTTCAGTTGAAGGAATGCTCCCAGCAGGGATGTCCTCATCTCGGTACTGATACATCTTGAAGCAAAACAAAAAAAAAAAAAATAGGAAGGAAAATGTTTTTATAATACTTAACACCACCTAATGGGTGTTTTGGCAGAAAAAGTTGGAGTGATTCCCCACAAGGACAGCACCAAAAAAAAATGTTTTTGGACAAACCTTGTAGATCTTGTAAAATTTATTTGTCTACCGACTTCATTCAAAATGTAATACAAAGTCAAGTTTTCACTGGGGTTCATACATACAAGGGCCAAGGTCAAAAATTGCTCAACCCACACTCAGTACTTTGCCTTTGGGAATGCCTCCTAAAAGAGAGATAAAGCTTTGGGCCTCTGGGGTTTGAGCTAATATTAATTTTCTCCTTCCCTTTCTCCAGGTACAGGCAATAGATGCAACAGTTAAGCATCTCATAAACATGGTAATATTTTTACATTAAATATAATATAAGATGCTTTAAAGTCAATTTTTAAAAACTAGTGAAATGGAAACAAAAAGGCACTTATATCTTAACATCAGGAAGAGAGAGCTGAAATTTATAGGACACATAATATAGAAAGAGAGCTTAGAAAATTTGATACTCACAAGGACAGATTGAAGACAGCAGAGACAGAGGGAAACAATGCATAACTGACCTAACAAGTTTGAGTAAATGGATGGCAATATAAGGTTTAACAGAGACAGCAAAAAGACAAAATTTATTAAGAGCTACAAAGGATAGGAAATTGTGGAGAGCCATGATTGTCTACATCCTGAAGGGATATGGCACATACAAGAGAGAGAAAGAGAAATATATCCAAAACAGGATGGCATTTCTCCTTTTGTAAATGAAGGGAGAAATTCATGTTTGAAATCCATTTTGAATCTTTTTTTTCTTCTTCATTTATGTTTCCTGGAGAAATTCTATGTTCATAGTTTGCTCTGCAATAGGAATCATTGGGTGAAACTGAGATATTTTGCCTGCATGAGAGGCTGTATACAAGAATGTTCTTAATGTTCTGCCCTGTTGTATAAAAGAACAAGAGAAAATCTAACATTTGACAAAAAGTAAAAAAATTAAACAAAACAGAAAAAAAATTAAAATTTCAAACATAGAAAAAAATTAAAAATTCCACATTCCGAATTTATTGATCTTTTTTTTTTTTTTTTCTAAGTGGAGTTATATTTCTTGTTATTTTTGTTGTTATTTTTAGCAGCTAAAATCTGATTCATTAAAATAAACAGATGTTTATTTTTTTAATTATTGTCACTTAATCTATTTTCCTTTGTTCATTTTCTATTTTTTAATTCTTTTTATTATAATTTTTATATATTTTTTTTATCTCTTTGTTATTTTTCTTTTCTCCTTCTTTCCTTTTACTCTTTTATGCATTGTCATTTTTTCTTTCATTATGCTCTCATTCTTCTTTCCTATATCTTCTTCTCTCATTGCCCCCATAATATACAGGGTCTTATTTCTCATCAACCTCTTCCTCCTCCTCCTCCTCCTCCTCTTATTATTCATCTTTTTTCAGAATTCATTTTCTCTTTCTTCCTCTTTTTATTTCCTGTGATGATGATGATGATGATGATAATGATGATGATAACACCTTTTTTTTCCTCTTCCTCATCTCCTCTCTACTCTTCCATACTTCAATTCTTCTTCTCGTTTTCTTTTCATTCTTGCCTTTTTAAGCTTTTACCATTTTCCTAACTCTCCATTTACTTCTCCCTATGCCATAATTATCTTCCATCCACCACTAGATTATTTCCCTTTTTTTTTTTTCCTTTTTTTTTTTTTTTTTATATTTCCACTCTTTAAAATTTAAATCACAAATATAGATCCAAATTGTAATTTCAACGTTGTTTCTAATCAATGTGAATCATTATCTTTTTCACAAAATCATTTTCAAAATCAAATCCAAAACTAAAAAGAAGAAAAATTCTATTAAGGAATCCAAAAAGAGAAAGAAAATTTTCAAAAAATCCTAAAATAATCTTAGTGACAGGTAAATTGTCAGAATCCCTTTTTTATTCAATTAAAAGTGTATTTTCTTGCTGATTACTTTATATTTTAGAATTAAGAATCCACAAATATTTCTGACATTCACTTTGTTTCCTTCTCCCTCTTCTTTATCTGTCTTTCTTCTCTCTAACATTCAACTTTCTCTTTCTTCTTTATCCATCTTTCTTACTTCTCTCTGATACACATTTTTTCTTTCTTTTTTATCTGTTTTTCTTCTTCCTCTTTAATATTCACCTTTTCTTTATCCAACTTTCTTCCTTCTCTCTGATATTCACTTTTTCAATCTTTTTTTATCTGTCTTTCTTCCTTCTCTCTGATATTCACCTTCTCTCTGAATTGTTGAAAGGATTAAAACATTCAAGAACAATCTTCCTCCTGTATGACAGTTTCAGTTTGAAATTCTTTGAAGGTTACCTGGATTGACAGATACCTGAAAAAAGCCAGAGTGCACAATGGCCAAAACATTATCATAACGACAACAAAAATGAGGATATTGGTTCCTAATGTAAAGATTCCAAATAGACTTTCCTTTCTCCTTTGGGAAAGAATTATTAAACCTTTTTGTTGTCTTTACTTCATTATTCCTTTCTCAGCAATAGTTTTATACTTTTAGTAGTAGTAGTAGTAGTAGTAGTAGTAGTAGCAGCAGCAGTAGTAGTAGTAATGATTATTATTATTCCTTTCACTTTGTATTCTCTCACTTTCTTTAAAAAATATTCTTCTTTTTCTTTACTTTCTCTTTTCGTCCTTCTTTTTCTTCTTCTTCTTCTCATTATTATTATTATTATTATTATTATCATTATTATTATTATTATTATTATTATTATTATTGCCATTAACAGCCAACAAAGTGAGAGTGGGATAAAAAATATATGGTGCTAAGTGTACCTTTCATGACACTCAGTCTAATATGTGTATGCCAGTCATCACAGCCAAATGTGCAGAGTTTTTGGTAAAGTCAGCACATTATCATGCAGGTGGGGATCAGTTAGAAATACCTTCAGCTCAGGTAATCCAGTCCCCTCAGAAAGTTTCTAATTAATGGTATTCTCAACTATCTAGATTTCACTCTCAAGTTACTTAGTCTGCCTCATCTTCCAAACTTCAAAAAAACAATCTTCTCCTCAACAACTGGCTATGATTCTCCCCATCTTCTCCATCTCATGAACAAAGATGCACAATAATGAACCTCAGTCTTCGAAAGTAGAACAGGTAGACACAGAAAAAAATGATTTATTTTTTAGTGAAGGAACACTCATTCTTTTCCCATTTTTTCTTTCTTTGTATATTAGTTTTGGTTATGTAAGATTTTAAATGAACATTCTACCTTCAGATCACAAGTGAAATCTGTATATATAAAACACTGTTAAGCTTATTCTGTTCCACAGCATCATGATTACCTGTTCTCTGCTGAGGCTAAAAAGAAACAAATAAACAGGTGTAAGCAAGCACAAATGTGTATAATTCACAAGCAAACTGATGTGTGCATGTACATTGATGCAAATTGAAATTTTGACAGCAGTATTGGAAAGAACTTACTTGCTCAGAGCAGATGTTAAAAAATAAAACAAAAATTGCCAATGACTTTTTCATCCCCAATTTGGATAACATTTCTGCAGTTTTTTATCCCATATTTTTTATTAAACAATTTTAGTATCTGCGAAATGATACTCTGGTTAATGCCTGAAAATGGTGACATCAGTCTTGAAGTCTTATTGATTATATAGTGATACAATTTCAAAAGCCAGGCATAATAGTTTTTCCTTAATAACTTCTAAGACATGTGGAATGTTTCAGGTGTCAGATCTAATTAGATATATGAGTCTTAAGGAAAATAGGAGTTAAAAGGACATATAATTATAAGCAGAAAGAAATAGCTGAAATTTCTTGGACACATAATGAGGAAAGAAGGTCTGGAGAACATAGCACTCACAGGACATACTGAAACCAAAAGAAGTGTATAATAGCCCCATTCTGTCAGTAATAGTAGCTTTGATTCTTACTGACAAAAACCTTTTCTATAATAAAACCATTAATAATGAATTTACTTCAAAGATTTAAGAGCTTTCTCTTAGACTTCTTTTATTTATATTTTTTTAGTTTTTGTAGCTCTAAGCAAATTTCAACACTTTACCATCCTTTTTTATCCTTCTTATGCCATCCATTTATACAGACTCATTAACTCAATCTTGCTGTTTTTCCTTGCTTTATTTTGGCTTCAGTCTGTCCTATGAGTGCTAGTTTCTCCAGGCCTTATTTCCTCATCATGTATCCTAGAAATTTCAACACTCTCTTTTTGATTGTAAGTATAAGAGACCTTTTAATTCCTATTTTCCTTAAAACATCCTCATTGATCATATGTTCAGCATTCTCGGTATTCATTGAGAGAACCATATTTCTGTTGTTTCAACTATTTTTTCCCTGTGAAGAAATTGTCTAGCATTCATTATGATATAGGAAATTAGATATTATATAGCAGTTCAATACTCTTTTCTTTAATATCTAATACACATGGCCACAGTGAATAAAAGCATTGGTTGAGTAATCCAAAAAGTGACTTGACCCAAAGTGTTGCGAATTCAATATCTGGCCACAGCAAAGGGAACAAAAAGTTGGAGAGTTGAGTTAATAAACGGAAATAACTGAAACTGAGATATCAAAAAAAAATAAATAAATAAATAAGGCAAAGCACGTGGAATTAAAACAATCTACTGCTGTGGACTAAGTAAAGGGTTTGGTTTCAAATTCCAATGTAAAGGGTGTTTCACTAAGACAGATTATATATAAGGGTGTTTCATTAAGATGGAACAAAGTCAGCATTAAATAAATTTATTTATTTCTCTATTGGATCATGTTATTTAAGTCATGGCAATTATGTGTGAAAAATAATTTTGACCAAATGACCACCAAATCTGAAAGAAAAAGAAAAATATCATTAGACGCTTAAACTTAATTCACATTTAAAATCGGTCCAAGTTATTGGAACAGCCTTTATTTTACCTGAAGGAGGTCAGAGTGTACAGCAGCTGAACTATTGTGAATATGGCAATAAAGATGTGGACAATAGTCTAAACAATGTCAATAGTGTAATAATCTTTTCTTTTTTTTCTATCAATATTTTCCTTGACACTACTTAAATAGACTGGTCCACTCATAAAAAAATAGGGAAAACATTTTGGAAATAACAATAATTTTTATAGACTTTTTGCAAGGCATGAAATTTGTCAGAATAAAAAAAATATTGATTTTTATCATTTTAGAAGTGGGGTCCTTTTCATAATATTCCTAAAGTATAAAAACTGATCCTCAATTTTTTAAGTTATCTGTTCACAGTTGTTATTTAGAAAGGTCTTACATAATTTTGCAAACAGACTTTGTTTTTTTTACAAAAAGATTCCTTTTAAATAAGCAAAAAACATTTTTTTTAATGACATAAGCATACTGCATGTATCCAACATTAATATACACATAAAAGTCTCCATGATAAATGCTTTAATTTAAATTTAATAGGCGTGACCCAAGCCAACACCAAAAATTATATCATGTCACTCTTTGAGTGCATTTGGTACCATGTAACCCAACACTACCTGCTGCATGGTCAGGCCATCAGTCATAGCTATGCATGAAGCCAGTGTAGTTATGACATGGCAATGCCAGACAGAGGTCTTACTAAACTGAAGTTAATGGTCAGAGTGAGGTTTCTACTATTGGAATAAGTGGCCACATGATTGTGATGAAAGAGAACCTCCAATTTGGAGGACATTGACTCTGACTTGATCTCAGGAGGGATGGGCTGTGCCAGGTCTACTTGCTCAAGACATGCTATGCATGAATACCTCTCTGGCCTTCAATGTGGAGGGAACTACACAGGTTTTCAAACTTGCAGTGACCCTACAACCTCACCTGATCATGGGACTGATGATGATGATGATGATGATGATGATGATGATGATGATGATGATTATTATTATTATTATTATTATTAATAATAAAATAGTTTCCTATTCTCAGAATGAAACCAGTCAAGCCAGCATCAATACTTTCTCTCTCCCTTCCTCTCTGGCAGTTTCATGTCTTAAGCTGTCTGTATCCTATATGATCACTTAAGGTATGAACCTGCCAGTCATCATGCTGTCTTGATTTCTATGGCCACACTGTTTATTTCTAAACGCACATTCTCTACAATATTGAATACTCTTTTCCCATACATAAATATAGCAAATCTGAATCTCTTAGCTACTGACATTTTTCACATAGTAAAAACATTAAAATTTCCCTTCCACTCTGCCATGTGATGATAGCTTGGGGCTAGAATCTCTGACTGATGCCAAATCGGTTGGGTTTCGATCCCAACTTGAAGCAATTGGATGTCTTGTCCCACTGATGAGTTGTGACACAGCAAAACAGTCTGTTTGGGAATGACTCTCTCTCTCTCTCTCTCTCTCTATATATATATATATATATATATATATGTATGTAAAAATTTTGTATAGCTACAATGTATAAATATATGCATTAAATATCAGACAAAGGTGCAGAAAAGCAATGGTCAGAAAAAAATACCCATTGTAAAATGGTGAATCCAAAAATATCAAAACAAAGAAAAAACAAAAAAAATTGCTAACCAGTTATTAATCCTTGGTCTTCTGATACAGTCAAGAACAAAATT